AGAAAGTTAGTAAATTTTATGAAAGATTATCCCGATATGTATACAAATGAAATGATAAATAGTGTAGAAGAAGTTATTGATATTAATATTAAAGATGTTAGTCTATCAACTGCAATAAAACTTACTAAAGAAAATAGTTTAAATACATATTCTATTTAATATTAAATGGAACGGGATTTCCATTGCTTCAATCAATGAGCATTGAAGCTAATTAGTTTGATGCATTGTAAAGAAAACCCCAGTGCTGTGCCCTCCGAATATTCTATCATGCATGAAAATAATAAGATTAAATAAATATTTTATCTTATTATTTATATGACTATTATCCATTGCAGTTGTGGTAAAACTTATGATGACAAATATTTATTTAAACATCTAAATTCAAAACATCATCAGAAATTTGTGGAATATAGATGGAATAAAGACGATACAATGAAAAAACTTTACAAGAAAAGAAAGACAGAAATGAAAAAATAATTTATCTTATTATTTAATATGAAAAGGAGTTATACAGATTATATTAATATAATAGATGAAATGGAGAATATAGAACAAGTACTAAAAAACTGATAATAGATGTAAAAAAATATGTTATTTTATTTTAGAATTAATTATGTTTTTGATACAATATATTAAAAATATAAATATTAATATAAATGGGAAAAAAGAAAAACAGAAAGAATAAAACAGATACTACAGTTTCTTCAACTGATGAAGAAAAAGAAGAACTTGTTAAAGAAACAGCAGTAATTGAGTTTTCTTGTCCGATGTGTAAAAGGGTGTTAGAGATGAAAAATGAATTAGAAATAAAAAATAATAAAAAATGTAAATGTTCATGTATTCCAACAAGTTTCAAAATACGTAAACATGATAAGAAGATAAATATTGATAAAACTAAAGACAGTATCAACTTAGAAACAGATGTTCATAATATTACATTCAAATGGGGTAGGGATGCTATACTCTCGGAAAATGGTGATAACGAAACGCAGGAAACTATTAAACAAATCATGAAAATTAGTATTTAAAGAGTAGATTTAACATAATTGCACTTTATAAATATATAATGAAATAAATAATTATCTAAATAAATATATAGTAATGTCTGAAAATGAGAATTATACTATTAATGATTTAATGAAGAAGATAACATTAATTGGTAAAAATATTAAAACCTTAAATGATATGATTAATTCCATTGATGACAAAATGAAACCAGTTGAACGCGAGCAACAAAGCAACGAAGAGAAGGAGAAGATTGACAAAATATTTCAAGCAAAATCTATAGGAAGACCATCGGGCGACTACCCTACAAAGCAAAAGAAATACTGTGATATGTTGAATACAGGAAAAATCAAACAACCAAAGCAACAAACATTAGACTATTATAAAGTTTCAAAAAATGATGATGGAGTATATGTATTATTTGAATAATTAATATCTAAATAATTCTAATAAATGAATTTATTAGAATTATTTTCAGGCAGTGGTTCTGTTGGTAAAGTTGCTCGTGATTTAGGTTTTAATGTGATATCATTAGACTTGAAAAACGCTGATATAAATATCGATATTTTGAAATGGGATTATAAACAGTTTGACAGAAACCATTTTGATTTTATTTGGAGTAGTCCTCCGTGCACTGAATATAGTGTAGCAAAAACTAGGGGAATTAGGAATATCGAATATGCAAATAGTATTGTCTTAAAAACTATTGAGATTAACAAATATTTTAATCCTAAATATTTTGTAATCGAAAATCCACAAACTGGATTATTAAAACATCAAGAGTTTATGGATGAGTTTGATTTTAAAGATGTAGATTATTGCAAATATGGAATGCCTTACAGAAAGAGAACTAGGCTTTGGAATAACATTACAACTTGGAAACCTAGAGAATTATGTAAAAAGGATTGTGGCAACATCAGAAATAATAAACATATTGAAACTGCACAACGGCTACCATCAGGCACTAAGGAAAAATGGGGTGACAATCCAACAATACATAAGCAGGAAGATTTACATAAAATACCTAGCGAATTAATTTGTGAAATCTTAGTGAGTTTGACGGATTAAGGATTTAGGTTTGGGGTTGGGCTTGCAACTTGAGCACATGCAATTGCAATGAACCAAACCACCACCTATTTTGATAAAATCGGGGAATGATTTTGATAAAATCGGGGAATGATTTTGATAAAATCGGGGAATGATTTTGATAAAATCGGGGAATGAGTTTGATAAAATCGGGGAATGATTTTGATAAAATCGGGGCATTATTTTGATAAAATCGGGGCATTACTTTGATAAAATCGGGGCATGATTTTGACTAAAACCATACTATGATTATAACATTTATACCCTTATATGTTATAATTATATTTCAATATTTAATTATATTTCTTGGAAAAAATGTATTTAAAGAAATAAACACTATATATATTATAGTAAATATGGGATGGACTTTAACATCAAGAGAAACTAAGAAGTGTGGATGTGTGGAAGAAACACACGTTCATGATGATTTTCCGACAAGTGATACAAGTTTAATATTATGCAAGGAATGTAAAACTAAAGAGGTAGAAGAAGAGAAAAAAAAGGGAAGAAGAAAAAACAACATATACAATAAGTTTTTTCAGGCAATAAATAATATAGAAACTAAATTAGTTCCGCGAAAAGAAGTATATCCAATTATGTCTACCTATCGTTTTCGGTTTAAGCGTTCAACATTCTCAGTATTCAACTATCAGTTATTGAATCATATATTTAAATACCAGAAAATCAGGAACCGTTATTACATAAATATTAATGCTGTGCAATTATTTTACGAGCATGAGCTTGATAAATATTATTACTTGAATATAAGATAGATTATAACCATACTATGATTATAACATTTATACCCTTATATGGTATAATTATAATGTAAGTATGGCGTTTTATATATTGAAGATAAAATCCTACAAGGCGGACCATGCGCAACTCCCGAATATCCAAATTTTGAAAACTGATTAATTATTAGTCTTCTCATTGAATTATTGAAAATGTTGTTTCTTATTGAATAACTCTTCTTAAAATGCTATATATATTTGTCTCTTTTGAAACAATATATATTTTCTAAAATATTTTGGAAAATATGTGTTTTTGAAAATGAAAATGTTTAGGTGTATTGAGTTTTTCAAAAAAATGATTCTATTTTTGTTTTGGTAAAATACCTTGATATATTCAAAAATACAAATGAATACTCTAAGGTATGACGGTATTACTGGAATACGGTGTGCGGATTTCTGATTTTTCGGGTGTTCTAACATTTTCCGAAGTTGCGCATGCCCTAATCTAACTTTTGGGGGGGGGGTGCCCCTGGTCATTCATGGTTCCATTTTCCCTTTTCTGGGGGGACTAGAACAATGGAATTGGGGACCTACCAGGCCCCTTCCCCTTACAGGAAGGGGAGTGAAAGCAGGCTTCACTCTGCAGGAAGCCTTGCGTCTTACCCGAAACATCGCCTAGCACACTCCGACAAACAAACCGGGATTTTGACTTGCCCACTCCCCGAGTTCCTGGACTCTTGTTTTGGGAAGACTAGCTTGACAGACAAAAGGCAAAAATGTGTTTGCCGATCCGCTTGAAAATCATGACTCTTGTGCCACAGAAACCATCATGAGCGCGTTTAGAAGCAGAGGGCCGTCCCTTTTGTTTTGGATCGGGAGGCCAACAGTTAACCCAAAGCTTCCCCCAGACCCACAATCCTTTTTTGCTGTGGTATCCTCCAAAACGATGTGTGTGTGTGGGTGTGGGTGTGGGTGTGGGTGTGGGTGTGGGTGTGGGTGTGGGTGTGGGTGTGGGTGTGGGTGTGGGTGTGGGTGTGGGTGTGGGTGTGGGTGTGGGTGTGGGTGTGGGTGTGGGTGCGGGCGTGCGCGTGCGCGTGCGCGTGCGCGTGCGCGTGCGCGTGCGCGTGCGCGTGCGCGTGCGCGTGCGCGTGCGCGTGCGCGTGCGCGTGGGTGTGTTTGTGTGTGTGGGGGTGTGGTGTGGTGTGGTGTGGTGTGGTGTGGTGTGGTGTGTTGTGTTGTGTTGTGTTGTGTTGTGTTGTGGTGTGGTGTGGTGTGGTGTGGTGTGGTGTGGTGTGGTGTGGTGTGTTGTGTTGTGTTGTGTTGTGTTGTGTTGTGTTGTGTTGTGTTGTGTGTGTGTGGGTGTGCGTGTGCGTGTGCGCGTGCGCGTGCGCGTGCGGGTGTGGGTGTGGGTGTGGGTCTCTGTGTTTGTGTCTGTGTTTGTGTCCGTGTCTGTGTGTGACTGTGTCTGCGACTGGGTTTGTGTCTGTGTCTGTCTCTGTGTCTGTGTCTGTGTCTTTGTCTGTGTCTGTGTCTGTGTCTGTGTCTGTGCCTGTGTCTGTGTCTGTGTGTGTGTTTGTGGCGTGTTTTTTGTCTTTTCTTTTTTTAAATGAACCCTTCTTCCTATTTGTAAACGGACCCACAACAATAGAAACTCTTCAGACCCAACAAAATACCATACGACTTTGAATTCCCCAAATTCTACACCAATACTACACTCTTTGGACACCAGATGATCTGTGCCAACTCCCAAGATGTGCTTATTAGGGGCCACCTGAGTGGGAGAGGTGTGCATTCGGGTCTCCAAGAAGTTCGCTTCATCAGGTCTTACACAAAAGTTGCATTCGGCACAATGTTTGTTTCAAATCAGCCGGGTCCTTCCCTTTAAAAGCTCCGACTAAAGTTATGCATTCTGAACACTTTTTTGCAAATCCAAATCAGTCCTGTTGTCCCATTGGAACCCACTACTAAGAACCCAATCTGAACAGATTTGATCAACACCGCGGGACCCTAAGATCAAAACCCTGCGAGGTGTTGAATTCGGGGGGAGGCGAGGAGAGGAGGGGGCCGTTTATTATTAAGGGGGACCGGATTACTTCAGGGCCACACGGAATCTGAACATTCAATTTTCAAGTTTGGATCCTTGAGGCACCCTGAACTAACCTAAGCCTGTCTCAGGACCCGTCGGGTGAGCGCTGGGGCGTGTGGCAGGTGCGAGAGCCAAGCGGTCCAGGCTTCCTGGAATCAGAGGTAAGGGTGGTTGGTGGACCCAGTGGGTCCATTTACCTGTATAGTAGAGGAAGCCAGCCTTTACAAACCAAAAGGGCAACAGCTGGTGACCTGTACCATGAGGAAACCAGGACACCAGCAACTTGACAAACCAAAAGAAGAATGGCGAAGGGAAACCTACTATATAGTGGGAACTGGGATCTGCTGGGCGTGGTTGGTGGATATGACTCCCCTTAAGAATCATACCCCTAGATCTTATGTGCTGTGAATAACTATTGTGCCAAGGGCAGGGCAGCATTTCATGGAATTGCACACTTTCAACACGAAAGCGAACCCTCTACGAACTTTGGGTTTTCACAAGTTGAGCTTTTGCTGTTCCAGCTCGCAAATTGTACCTTCAAGATTAAAGCGCGCAATGACGCAAGAACCACTTTCGTTCCAGCTCGAAGAACCACTTTCGGTCGAGCTCGAGGAACCGCAATTTCCACGACAGCGCGCGCGAAGTCCACTGAAAGCAACTGCCCGAAACTCGCAAGTGAGGGTTGATCAATATATTCCCTTCGGCCCCAAATGACCATCGGTATATTTCCCATGAACGTCACTTTTTGGTGGTTTTCCTAATGGTCACTCACACTGGGTAAAGGACTTTTTGATCAACCCCCAAGTAGGAAGATAGCATGCCAGGTCTCACTTTTGAAAGCGAACTGCGGAGCGTTGGCTGCTTGATTACGCGAAAGTCCCGATATACAGGCGAAGGGTGAACCCTGTGCGAAGACAAACACAGCCACATACGGATGCGCGTGTGCATCCAACTTGACACACAGACACACACACACAGACACACAGACACACAGACACACAGACACACAGACACACAGACACACAGACACACAGACACACAGACACACAGACACACAGACACACAGACACACAGACACACAGACACACAGACACACACACACACACAGACAACGCGCACGACGTAAACACGCACTTTGCACCGGCTCGTTCTTGCAGGGCCGATATGGGTTCCGCGTGTCGTGTTTCCCCCCCTCACTATACACATATGATATATATATATATATACACAACTTGTGCAGGGATGTGTACATATAGGATGTATTTGTTATTAATATTAACCCTGGGAGCCCCTTAATCCCAGCGGCGATTTGGGAGGTGATGATCGATGTTGAAATAATACGAACAATATGTATATATCTATATATATATATCATTAGTATGTGTATATCATAGCCGAAGATTTTAGCTTAGCCAAGACCTCAAACAATGGGGCTTCAGGTGATGCTTCGGCTCTCGTCGGCTCGCTCGGCTCGAGAGAGGCCTTTGAGGAGCACACGGTTCGCTTGTGCATCGCTGGCGAGGAGGCGAAGTTGAAACGGGAATCGAAATCGCGCAGAAAAGTCACCCGGCGGTTTTGGAGGGTTTGTGTCCCAATCATAGGTGTGCTTTTTGGTTGGTTTGCCTGAAAAATAGAGGGCCCTGGTTTAGATGGGTTTTGTTCCATTTACCAGGGCCATCTATTTTTCCAAAAGGCAACCTATGGTCGGCAAGGCATTGCTTGGCTTCTGTGGGTCAAGTTGCCCAGCCATTCCCGTTTTTACCGAGCCGAAATTGGTTGAAAACCAATCGGTTCAAACCACCAGTAAGTTGGTCAGCTTTCGAAGGGGGAATCCAGTGACTCCTTTCCGCGTTGGATTTGAAGGGAAACCAAAAGGACTGCCACTTTGGGAGTCTCCTCTCTCTCTCTCTCTCGCAGCGTGGCGGACAAAGTCAAGTCCAAGCTGAGCGTTCTGGACACAGCTCAAGGCCCCTTGCCTGCCGTCACACACAACTGCCCAAAAGAAGTGTGCCCGTTTTCCATGGCCACCGGGGGGCAATGGTTAGCGGAAATAAAGGGTCTAGTCCCAACCAATGGCTTTGACAATTTCAATGCGGATATCCACCCTGTTGGCTCCCTCACACAAGTTTGGGTAGACCGCAACAGGAACCCGGTGTTTATGGTGGCTCATTGCCTTACACTAGGTCAACGTAGATGGCACAATTCCTTGTGGGTAAGTCAAGATCACGAAACGAACATGGGGAGGTTGTTCCATCTCTTACCCAACTGTGGATGTTTACTTGGAGATACCCAGATGAAGGTTCAGCTCGCGTGGTGCTGTCAAGGCAAACCTGATGTTTTTCGGAGACCCCAGATGCTCAAAGTATCTAGTTTGGTATCCCGATTTCTTAAGACCGCTAGTGGTTGGCTGGTAAAACCGAACAGGTAAAACCCGCTGACTCCAAGCTTAACAGCTGTCACGAGTTACTCAACATGGCTTTTGCCCTCAGGTTGAGTCGGCCACTCCACAAAGCATGAGCCGCCAAAGCTACAGCCTGAGTGGAGCGCAAATTGAGCCTAGCTTCGCGCCTAGATTCCGGGTTTTGGGCATGCCAGTGGGTTTGGCTCAAACAATTCGAATCGTCTCTCCGGACCAGTCGATGGCGATTCGTTGTGTTAGTCGTGAAGGATCTATCTTTGCTTCAGCTTAAAAGCCTAGTAATTGCCAAGGATCTGTTTGTTACATGGGCGTGTCCCAGGATTTGAAGTCTCGCAAATGGTTGGGTTTCCCTCAGGGCATAATTCAACAAGGTTCTCCCCCCACCCCCCACACACAAAAACTCACTTCCCGAGTTCCTGGATTTTAACAACCTTTTGAGAAGACCGTGTTGGTGGTAAACAAAAAGTTTGGACTGTTTTTGGCCCATCAACTCGGGAAGTGAGAAAAGAAAGGAGCCAACTTGCGTAATAAATGCACCCAGAAGAACTATATACTTTCCCGCCCCAGGAAGGTGGATGTGTTCTTGCGCATTGGAGATGGTTGCTCCGTAGAAGTCTTCCCCTCGAAGCCAATCAGCGAGCGGAAGGCAGCGTGTCCTTTTGGTTATCCTTTCAGCCCCGAAAATGAGTGTTCTGGAAAACAGACAGCACCACATGCCCGTGTTTGGCAACACTTCCTTTTTCGCGTTTCAGTGGCACGGACCGCAGACCGCAGTCGCTTGTGCAGGTGAAGGGCTGCTTTCCCACGCGCGAGGATGGGTGTTTAGACGTCGGGTGTAGCATCTCATTTCTCTTAAAATCATTTAAAATCAACTTGGGGTCACCCAATTTCTGAACTTCCAAGTTTTTGGGAAGATCCTGTGAGTGGTAAACAATGTTTTTGTTCTTTTTGCAGTGAGTTGGCCAATTCAGTCCTTTCTAAGTCCAGGTATCGAACCCCCTGCAGTTCCATGGATCCGTAGGAAGAGGACATTCCTCAAAAAGGGGCACCTGGTGGCTTTCGCAATACCCGAAGGTCGGGCAACATCTTATAACTTATATCTTTGCCCTGCTAGCCTCCCCCCAAAGAACAAAGAGAGAGAGAGAGAAACAAAAACAAAGAAAAGGCTTTGGTTTCTTTTAACGGTTTCGTTTTGAAACCATCGAACACGGCTACCATCGAAAAGCACACACCCATATATCCATGCTTGAACCGACCGAACTGCAAACAGAAAACAACGCGTGAATTTGCAAGCCATAGTTGCCATGGGCTCACGACTGCCACCCTGCCTTCAAGGAGCCAGTTGAAAGGGGACATCTCCAAACAGATTTCCCTTTTTGGTTTGAAACATCGCCGTAAAGTTGCCCAGGAAAGGCGAGCTTCTCTGGCAAAAGCGTTTTTTTAAGGGATTTGTTTGCGGAACTTCTCGGGGAAGGGGACCCTTTCAGGCTGTGCTTTTAACAAGAGCTGAGCGCCCCAAAATGCCATTCATTGGCCACTTGAGCGGGGTCCTTCCGTCCCTGGTTTATAATTTCAGTCCCTGGTACCAGGTTTGTAGAACCAATAGTCAATGGGTATACCGGGCGCTGCGAAAAAAAATGCCGACCGCAGTAAGGCGCCATCTGTCTAATTTGGACCAAGTTCGGTAGGGAATTCGGCTGCAACCATTTGGCCCACTAAAGTGGTCGGTGGGTGGAATCCTCATGGAAATTCGATGTCCAAAGGCCCTTTAATTTTGCGTCCCATGCCAATTGGGAGGGAACCGTTTCAATTGGGACAACGGGAGTCGGACATGGAATGATGGTGACAATCAATCTATCGTAGTTTACAGTTTCCGCTGATTGATACATAACCATTCCTACCAACCTCAAGTAAATTTGTCTTTGGACCATTCCGCAAAGTCAAAAGTTCGTTGCACAATCAAGTAGAGGGGTCTGCTTTGGTAAAGATTCGGACAAGGTTGGGTGTCAACATGATCCAACCATCTAGATGAAAAGGACACTCCTCAAAGTGGCGTCTGAATGAGTTAATCTCGCAACACCTTCCGTCTTGTTAAGACTATGCTTTCCTTTCCCCTGTTGGTTTTAAAGTGAATCTATCACTACTGGAATACTTGTCTAGGTTTCTTTGTTCCCCAGGAGACTAAAGCAACTTCAGACAGTGGGTTGTTCACTACACATGGGATTAGGGTACCAGACAAATGAATCTGGAGCCAGCATCGTCCCCCCTCAAAGGGGTTTCTCAGGAACAGTCTAATGCGTTGGGAGGGAAGCATGAGCTAACTCTGTTTCGCACGTACCGACAGTGGATGGTTTTGCGTTGCCAACCACTACACTACTGCTATTGGTGTGTCTGTCCGTGCGCGTCTTTTTGTGGATGGTGCCCTTTTTGTGGTTGGTTCAAAGCACTCCTTTTCTGGGGTTGCTCTAACTAGAATCTCAAGGAAACCCAACCTTGTGGAGTTTTGTGTTCAAAGAATTACAGCCTTTGGCCAAGAAGTACCACCTGAGGTGTTTTGAAGGGAAACCTAAGGAACCCTCGTGCTTTTTGTTTCGGGAAACTCAAGGAGGCGATCAGCTTTCAGCTGCAGCAGCTGCAGAGTCGGCCAGGGCCATGGTCTCCAAAAGCGTGGCCCCGGATGAATAAACCCCCGGTTGATTTTGAATGGGGGGTGTCCCCTTTTAGTGGGGATTCATCACTTTTTAGGGGTGTTCCCCCCTAATAATGGGCGGGTTGATTAATCCTGGGTCAACATGAATGTGGACCCCGGATTAAGAAGCCCCTGAATAAACAGAGTGTGCCCCTCCAAAAGTGAGAAATCCCCACTAAAACCAGGAACACCAACAGGGTGTTATGAATCTGGGTCAGCATTATCGGAAGCAGAATCTGTGTCACAGATATGAGTTGTGTGGTGTACTCGGTGTACTCCAGAGAGCCATTTGAGCAACTTTTTGTGGGGTGGACGCTGGGAGATGGGTAGCATGATCTCAGCCTCGAAGGGTGGAGTTTTTTCTTCTTGCAACCCGATGCGTGGGTTCCGTTAACGGGGAAGGTTGAAGGATCGAGTTTCAACGAAAGCCCTGGGTGAGGCAAAAGGTGAGGCTTTGGTTGGGAGGGTGAAGGGCGAAGGCTTGAGTTTCCCTTCCCTTATGCCATATGCCCTTGGAAGTCAACCATCATGTATGCTTCGCCCACACCACGGGAGGGTCTGCCACCTTGCCAGAACACCGGCTACTAACTGGCATGGCCATGGCGTGTAGGATCCGCCTGCAAATTGGTTGGTGGTCATGCACGGGGAGTGCAAGGGGTGTGTCCTGGGGTCACCTTTTTGGGTTGAAGGAACACCAAAGTGGGCTCCCACTCCATTTCAAGACATGGCCATCATGGTTACCCTTCATGGCTCCGAGAGGTTGGGGTTCATCTTCGCCTAATTGACTGGACCAAGGTGTTCTGCGAATCGCTGCAAAATCGGCGTCTTGTTGTGAGACCTTTGGGGTGGACTCTAAGGGGAAACCAAAACGAAAGCACCCCACGTAGGGCTTCCAAACCCAAACCAAGCGGCAATTAAGGAGAGATCCACAAACGGCCGGTAGACACTGGAACATGTTGGGCGAGCCCCTGCTTGCAAATGCCCCAGTAGTTTGACTGTGTTTGGGGCCAATTTACTCAAGAAGCAAGTGATTGACCGAGAAATCTCAGGAACCAATATGCGTCTTGCGCACCATGTTGACGCGATGTTGGTTTCCTCTATGATCCTGCAGGTTGTGCTTGTAAATGAAGGAATCAATCGATGTTTTATGCCGCTGTCGCGCTGTTTGTTCTTGTTCTTCCGGTTATTTATTGTTCTTGTTATTCGTTATTTTTGCTTTCAGGTGGTTGTGGTTTGTTTTGGTCACCCTTGTGTCATTTAACAACGGGAGTTTTCTGGAACCATCAGACTCGCCATTTCCTGGTTAAGGCTATCATGGCCTCGCACAGCACTACAACCTCTGCCCGAGCGTTCGCCCATCTGGGACCATCCCGAGGCAGGAAAGAGAGACAATGGGTTGCAAGTTGGCTCCTCGCTCCTTCAGTTCCTGGACTACTTTTTGGAACGATTATACATGTTAGTGGTAAAAAAAGTTTGGACTTTTTCTGTCCAATCCACTTAGGAAGTGAGTAGCTGTGTTTGTCTCTAGCTAGAGGACCCCCCCCGCAGGCGGTGGTGATTTCCCCCCCTGAAGGTCCATCCAAAACATGCCCAGCCCGTATTTTGTTGAATGGATGATGACAGTTGTTTCCCTGGTTGGGGCTTCAGATCTCAAATTAGGCCATGGCCTCCAAAGTTGCTCAACCTCTCACTTCCTGAGTTCATGGACGGTGAACTTCCAGGGATTACCATTTTAGTGACAAACAAAAGGCACTTTTTTTGGCCAGCAACAAGTGACAACCCAAAGGTCAAAACCACCCGGTCAAGGGCAATGGCCACGCGAGGTGGAACGTTGCACTCCATGCGCATCTTTGTAGAGGATGCAACATCCAGGTTTAGAACATGACTCATACTCGGTGGGTCTCAAAATCGGGGAACTCCCAAAATGGATGCGGTTGCTTATGAATGACTGCCCTTTACATCCAACAAGATTCCAAGCCTTAAACTAAAGAGGCACCATGGACCACAATCAAAACATGTACTTTTGTTAGAAACCCAAAGACCTAAGCCCAAGCAACCCAAGCCATAGGCCCAAACAACCCAAGCCTAGAAACCACAACCCACACTCTTGAAACCCAACCAGGCTGCCCGAAGCTGTGGGATCGCGTAGACAAATCGCTCGGCGTTTTTGGCTTCAGGAGTTGGAGGGCATGAAGCAGTACACCTTCAGGGCCCGGGCCTTGGCCGCTTGGTCATGGCCGATGTGATTCGGCCGGTTTTTCCCTGGGTGGCGAAACAAGACTCGCGCCCTGAGGTGTGGAACTTTGGATTTGTTTGGGTTTTTGGGGCCATTCTAGCGACGAAGCGGCAAAGCTCGGCGAAGGTTGTGGGCTCCACGGCAGTGGGAATGGGAACCCAGATCTACAAGGTTTTTGTCGACGCATTCGGACAAGACGCTTCCGGGCACCCCAAACACGCTCTTAATTGGAACGCCCTCTTGGCGGGTTTGCGACATATGGAACTTCATGGAGAACCAGCTTGCTAACCAGCTTGGTACGGAGTTTGGTTCGCCAAGTTAGTGGCAACCACCACAGTTATGACCCACCAATGACAGGCTTAACTCCACTCAAGGGAACACCTATGAGTGGGTTATAGCTCAGGTTCTCAGCAGGTTCCCCAACAATCTTACTAATTAAGTCAGCCTATGGACATGAAAAGGGGCCAGAGATACCTAAAGGCCACAACAAAAACAGGGACTCGGGTAGAATTTGTTCAACAGTCCAACCCTTTCTACAGGTTTGGGTTTTTTTCCAGCACCCCACAGGAACCCGAGAGGGCTTTTCTTTTAGGCACGGAAGAGCCCAAAAGATATCGGATTCGCTGCTCTTTTGGCTTTAAGACATGGAACACGAAGACATGAAAGGAAGCCCAGCCCCATTGGCTTTCCCCACGCGTGAGGTGCCGCGGCACGCAGGCGAGCCGGTAGAACTTTGAGGACCGCAGATGTACAGGTATCGTTTTTCAAGCACAGGAAGTTCCATATGGCCGTGGGTCAACACCAATGGTACCATTTTGGGGTAGGTGCACCACCCATTTTAGTCTGTTTTAGTGGGGATTGGGATGTTCACTGGGGGTACGGGGTTTGCCATATCTTTTTCTTAGGGATGGTTCAAACATCAGCTCTCCTTTTGGTGGGAAATGTTGAAAGGGGAACTATAGAGAACCCTGATGTGTAGGGGCCTGGTTCGTTGGTAGTTGATTCTGAAGCCAACCCCACTCCAAATGAATTAAGTTGCAAGAAGGACTTCGCTGAAGGTCTGGGAAGTGGTCCTGGTAGCCTGCGCATTCGTTCCAGCCCAGATGCCAACCCTGGACTAATCCCGTCGTGGTTTGATTGCAAGGTGAGGCATTTTCAAGGGAAGCCGGACCACTGCCGTGACGAAATGGTGACCCGTTTAAGGGCCCCCTTTCAAGGTGTTTCTAGCCTCATGCCCCACTTGGCCTGAACAGAAAGGTGACCCATTGGAGGGGCAGCTCAAGGCGGTGCAAGACTTGAGGGACCTCACTTGTGGTCGAACTCCATCTTCGAGTCCCTGCAATGCCCGCAATGCATGTTCCCGTTGAAGATACAAGGGGAAGAACGTATGCAGGGCCTCCGCGTTTTTTCTAGTTGGGGATGGGGGATTGGCGGGATTGGCGCAGCGATCGGGCAGCGATACCAGGGGCAAAAGAAGTACAGTTCTGCTTTTCGGCCCCCAGCGAGTTGTTTGCTGCTTGCGCTCCTGCAAATTAACTTAGAAATCAACACCCCATCACCATCATTCGCGGAGGAAACTCCATGGGCGCTCAATGTGTTGGTTCCACATTAGCTTGCCGGGTATGTCTTAAAATGGGTGCCACAAAATGGCGCAACAGTTTTCCTTGGGTTTCCCTTTAAACAGGGCTCCTTAAAAGATACATTTTGCATCATTTTGCCCATTTGAAACATACCATTTACAAGGCAAGGTTCAGGTGTATAATGTAAGGATCCCTGTTAAAGCAACCTGAGGGGCACTCAAAAGACAAACTCGCCCCCACCTCCCGCCACCTCCCCCCAACTCTCCGGAGGCAAGGCTTTGGACGCGGCACAGCTCGAGGCGTACCACGAGCAGGGCTTCCTGCCAGAGCCCCCAGCCTTGCATGGGGAGAGTTCCCTTTTGCCCTTTTTTGGGGGAGGGTTCTCCTACTAAAAACATGTTTTACAGTTGTGCTTATTGCGGTTTAGTGGTTGATTTCCAGCCACTTGACTGCTAAAGTTGAATTGTTTGCTCCCCTTCCAACGTCAACCAAGCTTTGGAAAATGGGTGGATCCAAAGCCTATCAAACATTTGCACCTCATGTCTTCCCCAGAATTAGCTCCCGCTTTTTTGTTCCTTCGCTTTTTTGGGGTCCCTTTGTTTTCCACTAACCAGGCAAAACAGATTTTGTTTGCTGGGGTCCAAATTCCAGCCTAGATGTACCAAATCCCCAAGTACCCTCCCTGCAATGACGATCGAGCGGAAGACGAAGCGCTTTCCTTTTGTGCAAGCCCTGCAACCCACTTCCATTCGAGAAGGCTTTTCCCATATAAACCTTGTTGGCCCTGCAACGGTGACACCAACGGGGTTTGAACCCATCGTGGTCCTCCAGCAACATATAATATTGGATCCACCCGAAATCATCTGAGCTCAGCACCAGACTTAGGCGCCAGAAAACACCTGCCTTCATGGGACTGGCTTTTGCGTTGGACGGGTCACACATGGGCAGGGCGCAATGTTTCCCAAACGGATCGCAAAGGGATCTCGGTGTCCACCCCCCCACCACTGGGTGTTTTCAGGCCAAACTTAAGGATGTTTGCTTCTTGCTGAAAAAAGCATTTTTGTCGTTGTTCGTTGTTTAAAATGCTGAAGAAACATGTTTTTTGTTTTTGAAGGACTAGAAGGGGACACGCGCACTGCTTCTTGGATGATTTTGCACACGAGCCACAATCAAGACCCTTGAACATGAAGCTTAGAAGAAAGGAATAGGAACCAGAAATGGTTCTGGGTAGACCATTCTATTGCCGATCGGTTTTGATTGTGACTCCCTTGGGAAGGTTGACAACAAGGTCCCTTGCATAACCCTCTCTACCACCAAACCCGAATCTCGACTGTCACTCGGAATCTTGAAGTTCACCTCAAAATACCCTGGAACCCACCTCAAACTGACCCGAAGCAGTGTCCGGTCACATGAAACTCCTCCTTGATGAGCCCCCGACGAAAAAAATCCATCGCTGGGCGCCGAAGAGCTCCGAGGCTGAACCTTCCGGTGCTGCAGGGCGAGGCGCTCACGGAGGCCACCCAGTGCTTCGAGGAGCGGACCGAGTCGCGTGCCGAGTTCTTCGCGGGGGGCGGTGACGTTCACCCAGGAAAGAGTTGAGATGATATACACATACGTCACATGGGTTGTGCATGTATTTTATAGAGATATGCGGTTTCAACCTCCCCAAAGAAGAGCGCCGGTTCGTTTGTAACTATATATTGTTATATCATGACCTTTATCATATGATAGTATTATATATATATATATACATACACACACGCACACATGCGCACGTATGTTTCACGTCTTCATATGTTTATATGTTTGATTTCTCGGCATAGCAACCCGGCCGCAAGAGCTCCCGATGGTAGAGCTTAGGAGCTGCTCCAAGAGCGTCTTGCCTGGGGCCCAAGCGAGCTCTTGCGGCGATCCTTCGACCGGTGTTTGGCTGTGCACGCTTCGCCCAGCCCCAGACTAACATGGAAGCTCCCGAACGGACCCCGAAATGGAAGACTTTCCATTTACAAAGGCCTTGTGGGAGCTTTCATGGAATCGTTTGAGGTGAGTGTAGCCCAGTGGATCCTTTGGCTTTGTAAAGAGATCCAGCCGATACTGCAGAAACACAAGGAGAATGGCGAAGGGGTTTTCGTTCGCGGCAACTGGGATCCACTGAGTAGTACAGGAATTGAAGTGGTTTCTTTGTTCAGTTTGTCCAGGCGCCCTGCCCCCTGTGTGTTTTTGTCAGGGAACCAGCAGGGATTCGGTTGCCCTAAGTGACTCTGCGGCATCAAGGAACGCTGCGGCTGGGGAAAGAATTGCCACTCCACCGACATACAAGAATGCTGTTGGTCTCAAAGTGGCTATGACGGATGAACTATACTACACTTGGAAGATCCTCAACACAGAAGTGCGAGCCACTCCTCTTGAAATTGAGAATGGAGCACAGAAGAGGGCCATCGCACCAAGAGGTTTGTTCAAAAGGAGACTCCTTCAAAACATGTGGATCACGCCGTCACCCACGAAATAGGGGTGTTTCAAAGGATCTTCTTATTTTTCGGTTGGCGGATTATCATAGCTAAAGATTAGAAGATGTAGTTGTTGGTTCCATGTTGACTTCGATTGTATTCCGCGTCCCCGCGTGTCTTGTTTGGAGACGCGCGCTAAGGATCGCGCGCCGGCCGCAGCCTTGGGAGGCAAAGCGCCTTGCGTGTGTTTGTGGCTTCCGAATGGCTCCCTGTCCTTTGGCCCCTTTCCTTATGCCCAACATGTTGCGAGTAAACCAACAATGGCAATTGACGGCCAAAACCAACAACCACAACCATAACCACCAACCACAAACCATGGCAATTGACGGCCAAAACCAACAACCACAACCATAACCACCAACCCACCAACCACAGACCATGGCAATGGACGGCAATGGACGGCCAAAACCAACAACCACAACCATAACCACCGACCACAAACCGTGGCAATTGACGGCCAAAACCAACAACCACAACCATAACCACCAACCACAAACCATGGCAATTGACGGCCAAAACCAACAACCACAACCAAAACCACCAACCCACCAACCACAGACCATGGCAATGGACGGCCAAAACCAACAACCACAACCATAACCACCGACCACAAACCTGGCAATTGACGGCCAAAACAACAACCACAACCATAACCACCAACCACAAACCATGGCAATTGACGGCAACAACCACAACCAACCAACCACAACCATTAACACAACCAACCAACACAAACCGTGGCAATTGACGGCCAAAACCAACAACCACAACCACAACCACCAAACCACAAACCATGGCAAAACCAACAACCACAACCATAACCACCAACCACAACCACAACCACCAACCACAGACCATGGCAATGGACGGCTAAAACCAACAACCACAACCATAACCACCGACCACACACCGTTGCAATTGACGGCCAAAACCAACAACCACAACCATAACCACCAACCACAAACCATGGCAATTGACGGCCAACACCAACAACCACAACCATAACCACCAACCACAAACCATGGCAATTGACGGCCAAAACCAACAACCACAACCATAACCACCGACCACAAACCATGGCAATTGACGGCCAAAACCAACAACCACAACCATAACCACCAACCACAAACCATGGCAATTGACGGCCAAAACCAACAACCACAACCATAACCACAACCCACGCCACCAACCACAGACCACGGCAATTGACGGCCAAAACCAACAACCACAACCATAACCACCAACCACAAACCATGGCAATTGACGGCCAAAACCAACAACCACAACCATAACCACCAACCACAAACCATGGCAATTGACGTCCAAAACCAACAACCACAACCATAACCACCAACCACAGACCACGGCAATTGACGGCCAAAACCAACAACCACAACCATAACCACCAACCACTAACCATGGCAATTGACGGCCAAAGCCAACAACCACAACCATAACCACCAACCACAAACCATGGCAATTGACGGCCAAAACCAACAACCACAACCATAGCCACCAACCACAGACCATGGCAATTGACGGCCAAAACCAACAACCACAACCATAACCACCAACCACAAACCATGGCAATTGACGGCCAAAACCAACAACCACAACCATAACCACCAACCACAAACCATGGCAATTGACGGCCAAAACCAACAACCACAACCATAACCACCAACCACAAACCATGGCAATTGACGGCCAAAACCAACAACCACAACCATAACCACCAACCACAACCATGGCAATTGACGGCCAAACCAACAACCACAACCATAACCACCAACCACAAACCATGGCAATTGACGGCCAAAACCAACAACCACAACCATAACCACCAACCACAAACCATGGCAATTGACGGCCAACCAACAACCACAACCAACCACCAACCACAAACCATGGCAATTGACGGCCAAAACCAACAACCACAACCATAACCGCCGACCACCACAACCGTGGCAATTGACGGCCAAAACCAACAACCACAACCATAACCACCAACCACAAACCGTGGCAATTGACGGCCAAAACCAACAACCACAACCATAACCACCAACCGTGGCAATTGACGGCCAAAACCAAAAACCACAACCATAACCACCGACCACAAACCGTGGCAATTGACGGCCAAAACCAACAACCACAACCATAGCCACCAACCACAAACCATGGCAATTGACGGCCAAAACCAACAACCACCATCATAACCACCAACCACAAACCATGGCAATTGACGGCCAAAACCAACAACCACAACCATAACTACCAACCACAGACCATGGCAATGGACGGCCAAAACCAACAACCACAACCATAACCACCGACCACAAACCGTGGCAATTGACGGCCAAAGCCAACAACCACAACCATAACCACCAACCACAAACCATGGTAATTGACGGCCAAAACCAACAATCACAACCAAAACCACCAACCCACCAACCACAGACCATGGCAATGGACGGCCAAAACCAACAACCACAACCATAACCACCGACCACAAACCGTTGCAATTGACAGCCAAAACCAACAACCACAACCATAGCCACCAACCACAGACCATGGCAATGGACGGCCAAAACCAACAACCACAATCATAACCACCAACCACAAACCATGGCAATTGACGGCCAAAACCAACAACCACAACCAAAACCACCAACCACAAACCATGGCAATTGACGGCCAAAACCAACAACCACAACCAAAACCACCAACCCACCAACCACAGACCATGGCAATGGACGGCCAAAACCAGCAACCACAACCATAACCACCGACCACAAACCGTGGCAATTGACGGCCAAAACCAACAACCACAACCATAGCCACCAACCACAAACCGTGGCAATGGACGGCCAAAACCAACAACCACAACCATAGCCACCAACCACAAACCATGGCAATTGACGGCCAAAACCAACAACCACAATCATAACCACCAACCACAGACCATGGCAATTGACGGCCAAAACCAACAACCACAACCATAACCACCAACCACAAACCATGGCAATTGACGGCCAAAACCAACAACCACAACCATAACCACCAACCACAAACCATGGCAATTGACGGCCAAAACCAACAACCACAACCATAACCAACCACAAACCACACCAACCACAATGGCAATTGACGGCAAAACCAACAACCATAACCACCAACCACAAACCATGGCAATTGACAGCAAAACCAACAACCACAACCATAACCACCAACCACAAACCGTGGCAATTGACGGCCAAAACCAACAACCACAACCATAACCACCAAACAAAACCATGGCATTGCACGGGAAAAACCACCACAACCATAACCACCAACCACAAACCATGGCAATGGACGGCCAAAACCAACAACCACAACCATAACCACCGACCACAAACCGTGGCAATTGACGGCCAAAGCCAACAACCACAACCATAACCACCAACCACAAACCATGGTAATTGACGGCCAAAACCAACAATCACAACCAAAACCACCAACCCACCAACCACAGACCATGGCAATGGACGGCCAAAACCAACAACCACAACCATAACCACCAACAACAAACCATGGCGATTGACAGCCAAAACCAACAACCACAACCAAAACCACCAACCCACCAACCACAGACCATGGCAATGGACGGCCAAAACCAACAACCACAACCATAACCACCGACCACAAACCGTGGCAATTGACGGCCAAAGCCAACAACCACAACCATAACCACCAACCACAAACCATGGTAATTGACGGCCAAAACCAACAATCACAACCAAAACCACCAACCCACCAACCACAGACCATGGCAATGGACGGCCAAAACCAACAACCACAACCATAACCACCAACAACAAACCATGGCGATTGACAGCCAAAACCAACAACCACAACCAAAACCACCAACCCACCAACCACAGACCATGGCAATGGACGGCCAAAACCAACAACCACAACCATAACCACCGACCACAAACCGTGGCAATTGACGGCCAAAACCAACAACCACAACCATAGCCACCAACCACAAACCATGGCAATTCACGGCCAAAACCAACAACCACAACCATAACTACCAAGCACAGACCATGGCAATGCACGGCCAAAACCAACAACCACAACCATAACCACCGACCACAAACCGTGGCAATTGACGGCCAAAACCAACAACCGCAACCATAGCCACCGACCACAAACCGTGGCAATTGACGGCCAAAACCAGCAACCACAACCATAACCACCGACCACAAACCGTGGCAATTGACGGCCAAAACCAACAACCACAACCATAACCACCAACCACAAACCGTGGCAATGGACGGCCAAAACCAACAACCACAACCACAAACCGTGGCAATTGACGGCCAAAACCAACAACCACAACCATAACCACCGACCACAAACCGTGGCAATTGACGGCCAAAACCAACAACCACAACCATAACCACCAACCACAAACCGTGGCAAAACACGGCCAAAACCAACAACCACAACCATAACCACCAACCACAAACCGTGGCAATTGACGGCCAAAACCAACAACCACAACCATAACCACCAACCACAAACCGTGGCAATTGACGGCCAAAACCAACAACCGCAACC